GTACCCTTCTCACTGTAGGAGTTGATCCCTTCAGGGCAACCTCGCTGCCTCAACCTCCTCCTGGGCCTCTCAGACCACTCGTGAGCCCTTCTCATAAGGGATCCCTCAAAATCCACCTCAACTGCCTCCTTCATATGAAGAGCTGCAATAGTGGCTCCCATGGTAGGGATGGGACCAGTAGGAGACCTACTGGAGAACTGGATGCAGGGAGAAAAACCAGGTTAATGCACAAGATAGATACTAGACTTTTTAACTATTGCTGTAAATGTGAAATGTTGGATAACAAGATAGTTGATAAGTGAGGAGTAGGTATATAATGTTCATGGTTGTACTTTGCACGGTAGGATTATGGGTGATTTTCTTCCTTTTTTGATACAAGTATGTGTTAACTTTAGGGGGGAAAAATCAACACTGTTTGTACAAAACAATGTGCCATGAGGTTACTAAAATAAGATTACTGCCTCCAAAAATAATGGCTTTCTAAAAGAAGAAAAATACTTCCATATTTATATATGGGAGCTCTGGTAGCATAGTGGCTAAGGCACTTGACTGCTAACCAGAAGGCTGGCAGTTCAAACCCACCAGCCACTCCCCGGAAGGAAGATGGGGCAATCTACTTCCGTAGTGATACTGCCTTGGAAACCCAAGGAGGGGTTGCTATGGGTTGGGTCTGACTCAATGGCATATAACAACAACAACAACAACAATATTTATACATTACAAAACATTGTCCAGAAGATCACCTCATTATCCAAGTGTCCCACACCTCAAAATTAGTTCTGCAAAAGCAGACAAACTTACAGAGCTCGTGCATTCTACTGAGGGTGGAAGAGGGATAGGCCAGTGTGTAAGAATGAGTCAAGTGAGCCTCAAGAACACTGCTCACGTATTTAAGGGAAAAATAAGTGAAATTTAATTTGGACTTCACTTTTACATAGCAATTACTCAGATATACTACTGCACATATTTTCCTTCTGTTTTTCTTATTTGTTTTTAAAAAATAAATGTGTAGATTTTGCTAGATTTGGAATATTACGAATTAAATTCCAACCACTAGAGCTAACAATCAAGTATAACAGCACACTCTGATAAATTTAGGTAAACTTCCTTTTTTTCCTGTTCAAATTTTATTATATATTTAATAATATGAAAAGTGACTGAAATAGAGAATATTCTAAAAAAGTACTGCTTGAGTACTTACTTGTTTATAGTTCTGTTGAGCTCAGCAATGAGGGAAAATGAAGAGCTACATTCCCTGGCCTGCATGAGAAAATAAGCCCACACAGTATCTTATTTACTGTTGTACCCCATATGTGAGCCCACAGTAGATACTCACAAATATGAATGGATATCTGCTATGTCAATTACTGCACCAGGCACCTATATATGTTATCTCATTGATCCCATACCCAGACAATCCTATGAAGTAGATATGGATATAAGGCTCAGTGAGATAAATAACTTGCCCAAGGTCACAAGACTAATAAGTTTCCATTATATCGTAATGTTTCTAGAAATTTCATTTGCTGATGACGTTATCCAGATAAACTCTGAGAAAAAGCACAGCACAGTTGCCAAAACTGAAAATATTAGATCATACATTACTATATAGCCTCAGTATCTGTCATATCTTTCCTTGTTCCACAAAGGATTTAGAAGGTTGAGATCTAATCATACAAAAAGTAGGGTATTTCACAGTTTTTAACTATACAATCTAAGAGATTTTCTTTTTTAAATCCACAATCCACCAATAATGGAACCAAGAAAATGTGTTTAGGTGACACATTTTGTCATCAAGAAATTGTATTACTTTTGGAAGTGACAATGAGGAGTGACAAAGTAGGAAGGGGCGATTTAAAATATAAAATAGCCTCAACCACTAACTAAAATACAGATATGCCTAAGTAAAATACCTTCTTTTTTTTTTTTTTTAATTAGGATTTGGGTGAAGATTTACAGAGTAAATTCACTTTTCATACAGCAGTTCACATATACTTTGTCTCATGTCA